GTGTCATAAGGAATCGCAATTAGGAATCGCCCGTTTTCACTTGTTTCGCGTAATTACTCCACATTAATTCCACTTTAAAATTTTCTAGAAAACAAAACAAAGGTATACTATTTTTTAGCAAATCTACGTAACTTCGAAACTGATAAGAGTTGGGTTTGTTTTTGTCTGTAAATATCAAATTCTTGGGTTAAAATCTTCGCACTGCACTGCATGTGAGAAGTGCAAGATTTAAATGTAGCTGAGTAAAGCGCCTAGTAATTGTACCAAAAACAATCACTTTATGGAAAGTATCTTTAAAATGGCCTTTGGTCAAGACTTGCGGTACTCCACATGATTCAACACGTCTATTCGCGAAGATGCGTCACTTTTTTCTAACGAAAATTTTCCGGTAAATTTTTAAAAATTTTGCCAATTTTCAGGCAAGAAGAAGACGGTACCTATGTGACTCAGGTAGGCGAAAAAGCAGCTATCGATATATCGTTTGTGGTAACTAATAACGGTGAACGGGCCTACGAAGCGATGCTTTTCATCGAGTACAACTCGGATGAACTTGATGTCCCGGTACTAAGCAAAAAAGCCGGCCCTGTCAATATTAACAGTTTCGAGGGCAACACTGCTGTGATCTCGCTTGGCAATCCTATGGAACCAAACAAGCAGGTATCCATCCCACTTGTGTAAATATAAACAAAAGTTTAGTTTAGTTGCTCATACAGAAACTTCTTGACAGAACGAATCAGCAAGTCAACATTCTTATTAAAAGTGCTGACGGCACGAGGCACAAGGAGAAAAGGGGAAAGGGGTTGACAGATTACTTAAACCGAATTAGAAACACGAAATAATAAATCGAATCGACAAGCTTCAACCGAATTCATGCAAAAATTAGCTAAGAAGAATTGGAAGGTCAGAAAAAATTTTCTCGAAGACCTAGTAGTGATAACTATGCCATTACTACTGGAGCATTTTTGAAGTCCATTCATGCTGAAATTTCCGTGCTGTTGTAGCTCAAATTCGAGCTGAGTTTCAAACTAGCACGTGGACGTACGGAGGGACTGGGCAAGCCGCTCACATTCCGAGCCCATGTGAACAGCACCAGTGATGAAACGAATCTAGCCGATAATTCATGGGAAGCCGTTGTTCGAGTGATCAAACGTGCCGAACTGGAGCTTAGTGCCATTTCAGAACCTGCAATTGTCAGGTTTGTAACTTACATATGTAGTGAAAAAAATTTACAAAGGGGAATTGAGGGCAATTTTTACGGAGAGAAATTGAAATTTTAAAATAATATTGAGGAAAAATTTTGCCTAAAAAATCGAATTAAATTAAAATTGAAGTCACGGTGAGTGCAGATGCAGTTTGACATGTTTTGGTTGCTCCTAAATCTGAAAAATTCTTACGCTTTTAAGGGTTAAATCCAACTCTTTCAGGGTTAAGCCTGTAAATGTTCAAGTGAAATCTTCCCTCTCTCTTATTAGCAGTTCTTCCAGATGCTCGCTTAACATCACAAAGCTACCACTTAACAATCATTTTTGCAGATACGGCGGGGAGATGAAAGGCGAATCCGAAATGGAATTTGATATCGACATTGGACCGCTTGTTGTCCACAAATACACTGTCACTAATAAAGGGCCATGGTCAGTGTCCAATGTCACGGTCCAGGTATGTATCGTGCGCAGCTCACCAATATTAGTAGTATATATTATACGCAAATGACCACAGCTGGTGCTGTTTGTTTGGTGTGTGCTAAATGTCATTTTAATATTTTGATGAGTTGTTGCTTCGTCGTCGCATTTTTTCTCACCACAGATACAGCTGGCAAAATTCTCCATTCTTCTCTGATTTGAGCTTCTCTCGTCCATTTAATTCATGTAGCCGTTCAAGCGGATTCTTTCACTGCACTGACGACCCCTACCTGTGTTCTTTGAGAAAGTAACTGCGTGGATAAAAATATTTGCTATAAAAAAAGGAATAGTTAAGTGTAAAAATTATCAGTTTTACAGTAAACACTGATTGAGCTGGATGAAAATGCCGAAGTACAACCATCTGGCAGAAAAATAGAAAAATAT